AATGGAGGTAAACGATGATCTTGCTTTTATTTATATATTTTTTGTTTGTTTTTAGAAGCCGTATGGGAGGGTACAGTAATCATCTTGTATCACCCGTTTGTCATACACTAAACTGTATGTTTTAACTTCTTCTCTATTGAATATTCTATCTACCTTGCGTGTTATTTTTCGGGGTCTTTGACATGTAGAGAGCCGCTTGTTCTCTGAACGAGTCGATTCATGGAGTCAAAATTAATTTCCAGTTGATTTCTGTAATTGAGGGTCAACCCTCTCACTTTACACACCGTTTGGTTCCCACTTTTGTCCGGTTTGTGTAGTCGGTATGCGTAATTCTTCGGTCCTCCCGATACGAAATGTGTGATGTAATTATCCACTGGAGTTATTTCTCTCGTCAAATCTCCGAGATAATCACCCGTTGGTGGATCCCATTCTCCAGCTCGCTGGATGTAAATGATAGAATCTGTGTCAAAGTACAAGACTCTACTACCTAAGTCGGGCATAGCTCGTCGTCATGGCAGCCAGTACAACGTTCGTATTGGGTGCTAGGGTAATGTAGTCTTCTTTATCGCAGTGCTGGAGAAGAACCATTTTGTCAGAGACAAAAGAAAGATCTGTGACATTCTTTGTACTATCCATCAACATTTCCAACAGTTTGGCGTACGTTTCTACATATGTGCTCTGTCCAAAGTTTGATCTCTGTCCCAGCTTTCCCCAGAATGAGTTGAGGTTTAGCTCTGAGGCCTGGATTTGGGGTTATCTTGCTTCTATCGCGGTGTCTTTGGATGTACATGGTTCGGTCTTCCTCGGCGCGACACCACTCGGGATAACCAGAAGACTCTTGTTTAATTTTCAGAAACATGTTGATGTACTCTGTAAACAACGCTCCTTCTCCAGTCTCGGGGTTGTAGGTTGCCGACTCATCATAATGCCAAACTTTGTATACCTTGGTGATACGATACCCTACTTCTTCAGGCTTTTCCAATTCCGGAGTGCACCAAACACCCGTCAGTTGACGTTCATTGACACTGTGGTGACATTTGTCTTGATTCATGGTTTCCGCGCATTTGGAACAGAGTGGGAACATCAGTTTGTTGTTCACCCTGAAAGGTAGAACTGATATATACAATCTCCTCGGAGGTAAAACATCACACTTGATAATACCGAAATAGTCCGTGGGTTTGACGATAAAGTCTTTAGTTATGACTGTCAGGTGGCCAACTGGATATTGCGAGGTCTTATTGATGTACGGGTAGAGGCTGCAAAAGTCAACATATTCTATCTTTTCGCCTTCCTTGATCTCGTAATACAGATGCAGGGCATTAGTATGACCGCCCAGAAAAGCCTCCCTGCCTCTGATAGGATTTGAGATATCTAAGTTTCCGACAAACCTCTCGACTTTGTGATTGTTCTTCATCAGGTTTCTGAAATTGCATTCCCACACGGTGACTAGCGAGCATCCTTTCCATTTCAACCACTCTTCCCTCGCCAGTAGCCTTTCATAGAGGGATGTCATACTGAGTTCATTCTTGCGATTCGTTTCATTCCTTCTGGGAAAACACTTTGGGCAACCATGGAAGTAACAATCATAGTACTCATACAAGGTTTTGGTAGAAGCATCATATCCATCTACGTGATAAGGTCCAATTTTCATCTCTCTTCTGGAATTACGAACATGTTGAATACGCGTGTTATTGATGTGTGCCTTGTATTCCATCCATCTTATAGCATCTGCGGATTGATTCTGGGCGCTGAGATAACCTTTCTCAGGCACAACTTCGATTGTATCAGGAGTCAGGAAATTCTTTCGAAATATGACGTTGCACACAGAGGCGATCGTGATGCAACGGGTTGAAAGGGTCAACTTCGGTGAGTATGCGCACGTCACTCTGACAGTACTTGAGCAGTTCTTTACGTAAATCATAAACAGAGTTCTTTTCTACTTCTTCATTGTACCATGTGTAGAATGTCTTTCTAGCCGCCTCCTTCATCCCACCTGAGTCAAAATAACGACCCTCGGGTATCGGTTTTCTGTAACTGTCTCCAGTGGTTCTCGGAAACAGGTGAGGATAAAACCCCTTGTATAACTCGTCTATGCCGAAGGTCTTAGGAAGTTTAGATAGAGCAGGAAATTCAAGCTATCAATGAATTTGATATCTGCACGACGGATATATAGTTGCATGACTTTTGAACCATTCATGATGACTTTGGGTAGTATATTGTGATCGTGACAGTATTTCAGAATCATAATTCCATCGTATCCCTTTGAATTATGTGCAATGTAAATCATCCCATTATGCTCTTTTTCTAACGCCCACTCGCACTTTCTCCGTATTCGGTGGAATTCTCGCTACGCACAGATCTGGAATACGAGTGCAATGTTCGTCGGTCGTGCATTCAAAATCGTAAAAGACATAGTTACCATGGCTGTCAGAGTCATCCTCCTCCTCAAATTCTTCCATCAATTCGTCAGATTCTTTTTTCTATCGGTGAGTGATTGAATGTAACACAGGTGGTCATACGTCTGAAAAGACTTGCAGGTTTTGCAGTAAACTTTGTTACATTTGTGAGACCCATCACGGTATTTGAGGAGTTTGTGACATTTTTCGCAACGTTGAACTGACTGGCAAAGAGTTTTTATCCCATTAACCGACTTTTGATGCCGTTCGAAACATTCTTTGTTCTTGAAAAATCTGTGACAATTTCCGCATTTTTGCCATCGTGTAACCATACAGTCCCTTTGATTTCCACAACTCAAACACCCCGTCAAACACATGTGATCATAACGGTGAGAATAAGACTTGTCACACCTAGTGCAATAGTACTTCTTTCCTAGAAAACCGGTAATTTTTGTGATGACAGATATATGTCTATTGAACCTTCTGCGGCATCGCCCACAAAGATGATGGAGTCAAAATGATCGTGCAACAATACATGTATTCTGAAATTGGGTAACACGCTCTGTAATTTTTTAATCTCTTTGATGCCACATGGTCCCTGTACGACTCTGGCTTTCCGTAAAAGTTCTCTAGCTCGAACGGTTTGCATAAGTTGTTCCCTGTTTTTTTCTCTTCATAGTACTCCACATCGATGGTGGATTTTCGTCTTTTGTTGCGTGTGCCACAGCGACCACGTTCGCTCTAGCGCAACACATCTGGTCATCGGAAACGATTTCAATGACAGATTTGGAATTTTTTAAGCTGTCTGCGACGTTCGGGAGTTTCGAGCGAGAGGTGTCAGATTGAGAGCTCTTTCTTGATTTCGTGGGTGGTTGTGCATGGCCGTTCTTAGTTGGTGGAGTGATTTGTCATGTTGATTCCGATAACGAATGAAAAATCACAAAGTCAAAGTAAAATAATAAAATAAAAGGGCATTAATAACAAATATAATAAAAAATAAAATTAAAATAAGTTTATAGCTAAATAATTAAAACCCGTACACTACATCAGATTTTAATCAGATTGCTTTTTGACAAAACGTTTTCTCTTACTGACAAGAGTGAAATTAATCTTGTTGGTGATATTCTCGTCACTATCATCCGTGTCAGTATCACTGTAATAAAATTCAATAAATAAATAAATAAATAAATAAATAAATAAATAAATAAATAAATAAATAAATAAATAAATAATAAATAAATAAACATTATCTTTCATAGGTGATTGCTCAACTGTGTCGTCTTCACTGAAAAAATAAATGTTATATTATTTTTATTATTCATATTCATATTGTTTACTAATCTTCACATGCATATCGAACGAATTATATGTATAATATCCGAGTACACACCTGCTTATAATAATACATTCATGTTCTGGATCTGACAAAGTTTGAAGTGTAAAATTCTCCCTGTAGATGAAGTTAAAAACATGTTTTATTTTTCCCCCACATACAATTTTCAAAATGCTCATAAATAAATAAATAAATAAATAAATAAATAAATAAATAAATAAATAAATAAATAAATAAATAAATAAATAAATAAATAAATAAATAAATAAATAAATAATCTGAAAAAATGAAAACAGCGCCAACTTAAGTCCAGTTAAAAAAAACTTACTCACACATAGAGGGCCTGCATTTATGGTTGATTCTCTAAGACAGAGCGGAAAACAGAATTCGATACAAAAAACAAAAAATATAATCTAGTGAGCGTTGGGAATATCGGCGTGGGCTTGAGTTAGTGTAGCGACCTACATAACAAACCAAGGTCATGTCTAGTGAAAAGACACCCTAAGTAATTTAGAAAATGTAACTCCACACATAATAATTGTTTAAAGCTGAGGGGTACGCTCGGTAATTGAGTTCAAGCAATGATTCGATTCACAAATGATTTTTTGTGAATGAGAGATATGACATCAATTGAAAACATTGTAGCATTCCTTTTCTGTAAACAAATCTCCATTATTATACATTCTGACTACTTAGACTTACATATTTGAGATGTGTTTTGACATTTCTCACTGTTTCTGTGCCAATTTTCCTCAGTGATTTCAACTGATAGTTTTTCAAAAACAAAACAAAACAAAAACTCACATATCCCGAATTATTGGCTAGTGTTTGAAAACGTGAAAACAAAAATAAAAATGAATCGATTACCTTTTAACAGTGGAATCCGTTTGATCCAATTCTAGAGATCGCTTAGACATGCTGCTGAAAGTTATGTGGCATAGAGCGTAAATGTCCTCATGTTTTGTATAACACGCGAGTCACACCAACTCTGACATTCATATTTCAACATCATAGTCAGCTGTGATATTTACGGTGTCTTTGAGGTCTGTTTTGGCTTGATACAATTGTATCAGGACACCAGTTGTACGCATTCATCGTTCAACACCAGGGCAAGTGCTTCCGAGGAATGTTGTAATTTTGTATGGGAAATAAAAATTAGGTGACCAGCCCTTACCAGTTGTGATTGTCTACCTACGTCATCACTAAGATTAATTAATTAATCTGTGGGAAAAGATAAATAATATATATATAATAAATAAAAAGATGATTCATACACTCTGTTTTACACAACATTTATAAATATAATGCATCGTCCAATCATCGAGTGAGCATTAGAATTTGAAACACGTGTAGTTAGTGGTTCTCATCATTTCTTCAGATTTCTTCTTCAGCCTTGCTTCAAGATGAATCCGCTAAACACGTATTTACACGAATTCGCTGGCTCTTTAGCCTAAGACGTTGTGACCCCATCTCCAAGCTATGAACAGAGCACGAGTCGTCCTAAGAAACGCCGGGCCGTTAATTCGCTGGCTACAACAACTTCTGATGGGTCAATGCGTCCAACTGTTAATTCGCTGGCTACAACATCTGACGGGGCGAC